CCATAAACCCCTCAAGCCAGCTGTCCCCAGGGCCCTTGTCTGGGTCCCAGGGCACCTTGCGCCCGTCGGTGCAGATGTTGCGCACAGCGTCTCTCAGCTCCCTCCGACCCAACAGCAAGAAGTGTCGGGAGGCGTAGATCAAGACGTCTTCTACGAAATCTTCCTCCTCCTTGCTCAGGACAGTCCCGGGACCAACCCTCGCATCTATGGCCACCTTGTTCTTCACACGGTCGTGCAGCGAGGCTAGCGGTAACCCGTAGGTCCTCGCAGCAACGCGGAGCGACATCTCACCGCTGCGTACCGCATCTACAGCCTTCTGGGCCTGCTCTGGGTCTACTCTCTTACGTCCCATGCTTAGCAGCAGGACCCCGAAAAGGGCAAAGATGCCCCACATAAGGGGTGTGGGTGAGGGCTGTGCTGTATCTCGGGAGTGCTTGACCCGATCGACACGCGGAGGTGCTCAAACGAAAGCTAACGGAAAGCTGAAGATTTCAAAAAAAAAATTGGGGGGCTCCGCGCATTGTGCGCCGAGGGACGTGCATTTGAAAAAAGTGTTCGTTAAAGGGGGGGTGTTCGTTAATACCCTGGTTTACTCTAGGCAGTTTGCCACGTAACCACATGATGGTATTTTATATGCACAGGTGTACACGAAGTGAAATTCCGGCTCGATATCCCCGTAAAACCTAACCAACCAGAGACAAAAACGGATACCGTTCGCTACGCTACGTGCGTTCGCTACAACTAAAGTCTTTATGGATGGTGGGAGAAATAGGCCGCACATTGCGTACTCCGGAGTAAACATAGGAGTTGGCATACACGTGGTTTCATACTTTTTTGCATGCATACGAAGTACTTCGAAGCACTACTAGTTCAGGGGTGACGCGCTTAGGGTTGCGTGGTAAAATGCCTCGACATGCTGCTGCTGCCCTCACGAGTCGGTGTGCACTCGTTGTGGTGATTGTTGATGTTTTTGTGTATGTCGTGTGTGTTTTTATGTGTGTGTTGTTGCTGTATGCGCGTCTTTTTGTTCTGTATGCGCGACCCGTTGGTTCTGTTGTCCGTTGTGTGTCACGTGACAGACGTACCAGCGAGGTCTCTCAGCTGCAGTACCCTGTTGTTGGCTTGTGTGACAAGAAGCTTGGGTAGAGAAAGACAGAGTGATTTACTATCCACACACAGACACACGAGGTGTCTTCACCTGACGGTTTAAGACTCGGAAACACGCCTTCACAATGCTGTATAAAACAAACACAGCAGAATAGAGTCGGTCTTGCACTGCAAATACTCCAACATGTCCTCTCAAGAGCTACGCTATTCTGACATGTGAGATACGAGACTTCTACCAATAATGTCCTGTCAAATAATACACACGAGTACTTGCTTGCATCTCTCAACTCAAAACAAAGTAAACACTAACTGCCGTAATTCAAGTAGCGACAGACAGACATTCCTTCCAACACAGATCTTCCGTGTTGATTCACTGTCCAACCCTCAAGACTAAAGTCTGATTTCGAAGAGGGGAGGTGACTACTCTCCTAGAAGCGAGAGGCGGTTCCTGATAAACTTCACCGCGCCCAAGCTCTTCGTTAGCATGTCTGCCTTTTGGCAGTCAGTTCCGATCTTCTTCACGTCCACTACCTTGTCAACGATTAGGGAAAAAACGTGGTTGTACTCGACATCATCAATGTGTTTGTTTCGTTGATTGAGTCGACTTGTTGGACTTGCTAGTTGAAATGGCACCAGTACTACTATCTTCGCACAATATCCCTGGGTTCCCGGTTCCCACGTTAAATTCCTGGGTTCCCACGTTAAATTGACACGAAAATTTTGGACTGAGATAGATTGACACCGAAAAAAGTGACGGTTGGCAAACTGACACGAAAAAAGGTTGTTGGATGTACTCACAGCATTGACAGATNTCCCACGTTAAATTGACACGAAAATTTTGGACTGAGATAGATTGACACCGAAAAAAGTGACGGTTGGCAAACTGACACGAAAAAAGGTTGTTGGATGTACTCACAGCATTGACAGATTATTGCAACCGAGGAATTTTGGGGGTTCCGCAGTTGTGGTATATTGAGGGAATGATGGTACCATCTTTGCCACATATTGTTGTTTCCTGGGTATACACCCGGGTTGCAAGGGGCTCCGTACACCCCATTTTTCTTTTTTTT